TCGGAGGGGGGGCTATGAGGAGTCTGGGGTGGCATCCACCCCACCCCAGACCCCTCATAGCCCCCCCTTCTGATAGTTCGGCATATCTGATAATCCGGCACCCCCTGGGTCCTAAAGGTGCCGGATTATCGGAAGTTTACTGTAATACAAATAAATAATATCTAGATATTCTGTAGCACTCCTCATAAGAAATTTCAGTGTTTTACAAAGGAAGTCAGCATCACTAGTCCTATTTTACTGGTGTGCAAACTGAGAAACAGAGCAGGGAAGCAATTTGTCCGAGGTCATCAAGCAGACCATGTTTCCTGAGTCCCAGCAAGCAGCTCTATTCATGCAGCCACACTGCCATTGCTGCAGCAGTTACATTTTGCATGCCCCAGGTTAAGCATGTGCTTGAGTTTTTAGAGGATCAAGGCCAGAGATTTATTTGCTTTAAGGCCAGTAGGGAGCATTATGCTCACCCAATCTGATCTTATGCCTAATACAAGTTGTGAATTGCCACCAAGTGATTCTCCTGCATTGAGCTAGTAAGTAAACAGAAAGGCAGGCAAAGCCTAAACTAGGAAAGTTATGCACTGCTGATAACCACTGATTTTTGCTAGCACAGCTCAGGACTGGAGTCATTCAAAAGTCAGCCTGAAATTCAGGGAAGTTTCCATCTTTATAACTCCAAACTAGGACCTAAATTTGAAAACACACACACAAATATTTCTGTAGGAACTTTACAGTGCTATGGGACTGATTCTTTGGGAGAAATAACTTTCCATAACCTCAATTTCATGATGCCTTGTTTCTGACCGAAATGATTTCTCACAGTCAACATAAAGTGAGGGGTGGCGACACTTAATTTGCATGAAACTTAATGCGCTTTGGCAGGTTGAAATATACCAGCACGTGTGATTGTGACATGGTGGCCTTGTTTTGACATGCCAAAGAAACAAGATTGTCTTAGTTGGGCCAGAGCCAGATCCTCAGCTGGTATAAAAAACCCTCCCTCCCTCAAGGAAGCAATGTTAATTTACTCCAACTAAGAATCAGGACTCATTATGTTTTTAAACCGCTAAAATCCTAGCTTTCCAGTGTGTTGAGGACATATTTTAGTTAAAGTATTTCCTGTTGAAAGGGACAGGAGAAATATCTACAAAATGTCTGGCTCATCCAAATAAATATTTCATAGGGCACCAATTTAGCTGTTTTCATTTTAGGCTTCATGTGATCAGCTGTCCTGGGGTTGCTTAAGAGGTCCAGTGGACTTACCCATGCACTCTTGCAAGGACTTCTGCAGCGCTCGCTGGACGATTTCCTCAAAATGCAAGTCAGTGAGGTGACACATCTCCTACAAACAGTTGCACAGGTGCAGTGACAGACAAACAGCAGGACCCGTAATAACTGGACTTAACTGTAATAGCGATCCAATGGTTTTCTTTTCATTAAGCACATTTAGACTTGCTCTATTCTGTTAGGGCATGCCTACACAACAGGACTAAAGCCAAAATAAGCTACGCAACTTGAGTTACGTCAATTGCGTAGCTTAAATCTAAATAGATTTTGACACTCTGCACAGCAGGAAGTCTGAAAAAGAGCACGCTTCATCCAACTTCCCTTACTCCCCGTAAAATGAGGGTTACAAGAGTCAGAGTAAGAAGTCCTCCAGCTCAACATTATTTCAATATTATGTCGAAATAACCTCTTGCTGTGTAGACACAGGCTATGTTATTTCAGAATAATGTTAGTAATTCCAAAATAACACTGCTGTGTAAATACGGCCTTAGGGTATGTCTACACTGCCACCATAGTTCGAACTAGGGTGGCTAACGTAGGCATTCGAACTTGCAAATGAAGCCCGGGATTTAAAAATTTGCATGTTCCTGGGACATTTTTAAATGCCCCATAGTTCGAACTACCTGCCCGCGGCTACACGCAGCACAGACTAGGTAGTTCGAATTAAAGCTCCTAATTCGAACTACTATTACTCCTCCTGCAATGAGGGAGTAACGGTAGTGTGAATTAGGAGCCTTAATTCGAACTACCTAGTCCGTGCCTCGTGTAGCCGCGGGCAGGTAGTTCAAACTCCGGTGCATTTAAAAATGGCGGCGCCCGGGAACATGCAAATAAAGCCCGGGATATTTAAATCCCGGGCTTCATTTGCAAGTTCGAATGCCTACGTTAGCCACCCTAGTTCGAACTATGGTGGCAGTGTAGATATACCCTTAGAGAGTAAACTCAGGGATGCCTCTGCACTCTGAGTTGTTTTCATGATATTGGGCTTATGAGATTGCTTTTAAGGCTATATAACAACATGCTTTGCTAATTGTTACTTTCAGTCACAAGCTGGGACATTACTATTAACAGTGCTGTCAGAGAGACACTTCAAATCCTAGGAAATAATATTATTAATATTTAATGCAACTACTTAGCACTTTTCCTACTGAAAGCACTTTGTATGCTTTAAGCCTCAGAACATCCCTTGCAGGGTAGGTTATTTGTTTTGGGGTACACCCCAAGTGTGAGATTAGGTTCCCATACAGGAAGAGGCAATCCCCACTCCAAAAATTATACAAACTAAATAGATAAGAATGGGTGTATTGTTATCCCTTTGTTACAGGTAGAAAACTAAGGTACAATGAAATGGAAGGCCCGATTTTCAAAGGTAGCAAGGAGGGAGCCTAAAAATACACATACAACTTTTTAGAGGCTTAGATACTTATACACAGCTGGCTCAGAGTCACTTTCTACTCCAATAGTGGGCAAACTGTGGTCAACGGGCCACATGCAGCGCACTGGGGCTCCACCTACAGCCCTATAGACCCCCTTCTGCCCTCCTCCCCCATGCACCTCTTGCATACTGGGGCACCAGAGCCCCACAGTTCCTACACCTCCCCCTTCTTCCCAGCACTTTCAGAGCACCCCGAATTGCCTGTCCCCACTCCTTTCCCTCCCCAGAACTGGAAAGCCACAAATCAGCCGTTCGCTGCTGTTCAAGCTCTGGGAAATAAGGGGAGGAGCAAGGACAGAGCAGGGTAGGAAGTGTGGGGCTCCGATGCCCCAGTCCACAAGAGGCAGGGGGCGAACAAGATCTGTGGGGCTGCAGGTGGAACCGCAGTGGGCCATGGGCTACTGCAACCCACTGAGATGAAGGAGGGCCACACTCATGTGGCCCACTCACTGTTCTTGGTTGCCCATCGCTGTTCTACTCAGTGATCCCAAATCTGAGAAAAATGAGGGAACAACAGTTCTTTGAATGACCAGGGGATTGCAGAAGACACCTTGTCAAAGCAAAATCTGTGCCTCATTTTTTAGCATTCCACGTTTGCACCTAATCTTGGTGTCTACTTTTTTAAGGGAATTTTGAAAATTCAGAAAGGGTACAGAGAATAGCCACAAAAATTATCTGGGAGCTGGGGAACAGGGCCTTGCAGTGACAAACTTTTAAATCTTAAAGTTAAGTTTATCAAAAAGAAGATCAAGAGATGATTTGATCAATACTTTAATGGGGAGAAAATACTAGATAATAAATGGCTTTTTATTCTAGTGGAAGAATGCAGAACAAAAAAAAAAAAGCCCAATGGCTGGAATTTAAAGTCACACACGTTCAAATGAGAAATGAGGCATAATATTTTTAAGCAGTCTAGGTGAACAAACTCCCAAGTGCAGAGGTGAAGCCTCCATTTCTAGAAACCTTCTAAACCAGACTGTAGACTTTATGGAAGATGCTTTAGTCCCACACATATGATTAGGCTCCATACAGTGAACATGTGTGAAATTCTATGGTGTTATATGGAAGGTAAAGCTAGATAATCTAATCGTCTCTTTTGGTCGCAGAATCTATGAGATGGAGTGAGATTCTTCATATAACAACACACCAATAGCTCAGGGATGAACAGGAATATCAAATGAGCACAAGAGATGAAATCCTGAAATGCAATTGAAAGTCCATCCTGACCCAGGATAGACACTGGGTAGGGTCTGGCTTTTCTTCAGACTTTGACAACACTTTTTGGGTCAATGAAGTCAGTCATTTAATTGAAAATAGCAATGTTAGAATCATTAAGTTAGAGTTTAAGGTCCTAAAGCTGGAGTGGGGAACTTTTTTTCAGTCAGGGGACACACACAAGTGAGAAGCAAACAAAAAAAACCCCAAAAAACTATCCCTGACTGACGTTGCCCCCGACTAAGGAGAAAGACACTTCCCACATTCCCCTCGCACACTAGAGCTTAAGGGGACATGTCCAAGTTAGCAGGTTTTGTGTGCTCCAGCCTTACAAGGGAGATGGCTGCAGTCCTCTCTAAAAAAAGCATGCCAAATGCTCGACTGGTATACTGCAGCTAGGCTGATTTACACCAAATTTATCCCACAGATCTGAGTTTGAGGAAAGGGCCGTCCTATGAGTATATGAAAAAATGTATTTAGAAAGTGGTGTAATAGTGTTAGCCATTTCCTGTGTCCATCTTTTTAGCCTGCAGCGACTCTGCAATGTTGTTCCTTCATCCAGGCTCCTCCATAACTTCATAAGGGCTCATGTCCAGTAATAACACCCCCCTTTTGTTGGGTCAAGTTTATTCACATAAGGTCTCTTTCACCCTGGTCCCACACTGAAAGCAGACATTGAGATCTGTCTTACTGATCCTTCCTGTCCTAGTCTTCTCTATGGGTCTCCTTCGATAGTGGTGTCTCATCTGCCTTCCCAAACTCACGGCCCTGCAGGAGCCTTTTATGCCAGTATCTGCAGGCATGTTCCAATACCCACCTGTGAACCCTTCTCTCTCCAAAACTTCTTATATATCCCAGGCCTGATGGGGTCCCTTTGCATTTCCCGCACTTGGGGAGAAGAGTTGGCTATTGGAACAGGCTGAGCTGAGCCCATCTCTCCTTAAAAGGACCCACCACCCTGTGACAGGGAGCAAATAAAGATTGTTGTGTCATGATCTATTTAGCAAATGATTCATGGATTCATACAGGGTACATCTACACTAGCCCCCTAGTTCGAACTAGGGAGGCTAATGAGGGTGACCGAAATTGCAAATGAGGCGCGGGATTTAAATATCCCGCGCTTCATTAGCATGTTCCCAAGCGGTCGCCATTTTGGAAACTGACTAGCCCGGAATAACTGCCTGCGTCTACACGCAGCAGTCAAATGGGAGTTCGAAGTAAACCCCTAAATCGAATTAGCTGTTACTCGTTGTGGAATGAGGTTTAACAACTAACTCAAGTGAAGGGGTTTACTCCGAACTCCCACATTTTCAGGCCAGAACCATTACAATCCTCCTCTCTAATCTGACCTACATAACACAGACCAAAGAATGTCCACAAATTATTCTTGCATCAAGATCAATATTTCTGTTCGAGCTAGAATGTATCTTTTAGAAGTATAAATAATCCTCATTGTGAAAAGTATTAATTCTCCATGTGACAGAGAAACCATCATGTCCCTACATCAGTGGTTCCAATGGTTTCATCAGGGGTTCCTCCCTGTTAAAATGCTGCACCTTATTTCCAGTCTGAATTTGTGAAGCTTCAACTTCCAACCATTGGATCTTGTTTCACTTTTGCTTACTACTTTGAAGAACCCGTAAACAAATATTTAACTGTAGAGACTTCAATCATGTTCTGCCTTTTCCTGCCTCATACCACACAAAAATACAGAAAGCCATGGAAGAGGACTAAAAACAATGCTCAGACTGGAAATGTTGATGTTTGCTCATCTCAAAGAACATCAGTTACAGGAAGGTGAGTAACCTCCTCTTCGAGAGAGAGACATCCCTGGGGGGTGCGCCACAGTGGGTGACTGCAAAGCAATACATGTTATGGAGTCAGGGACTTCTGATCAGGTAAATATTCTGTTTGTAAAACAGCTTTTGCTAATCTAGTATTATGGAGAGGTCCCAAGTTAAGTGCATAATGTTTTGCGAAGGTGTGTTCTGATGCCCACGTAACTGCTGCGCATATGTCATTGATGGGAACTTTTCTGAGGTAAGCAACCAAGGTGGCAACCGCTCTCATCGAGTGTGCCCGGATTGAGGTAGGTGGCGGTAAGTTATTAAGTGAATAACATGTAGCAATGCAGTCAGAGATCCAGTGTGATAATCTTTGTGATGATATTTGACTCCCTCTGTTACGATTGGCAATGGAAACAAGAGTCATGGAGATGACCTGAATGGTTTTGACCTGTGGATATAGAAGGAGAGCGCCCTCCTGACGTTCAGGGTATGCATTTGTGTTTCAAACGCATTGGCATGAGGTTTTGGGAAGAATACAGGTAAGTGTATGGTTTAGTTAAGGTGGAAAGAAGAGCGCACCTTGGGCATGAACTTGGGATGTGGTTGCAGGGAGATTTTGTCCTTGAAAAAGATGGTAAATGGTGGGTCTGCCATTAGGGCGCCCATCTCCCCCACTCTACATGCTGAGGTTATTGCCACCAGGAAAGCTGTCTTCACGGTTAGGTGGAGTAAGGAAGATGTGGCCATCAGGTCAAATGGTGGTTTTGTGAGTGTTGTTAATACCATGTGCAGGTCCCATAGTTCCCTAGAGGCTGCGATATCTGGGGATAGGGCCTGTAGCCCTTTTAGAAATTGCTTAGTAGTGTCATCCACAGGCGTATGGAAGGTTGTTATTTCTGCCAAGTGGACTTTGATCAAGCTGAGGAAGAGTTGTGCTTGCTTGAGATATAGTAGGTACTCTAGGATTGTGGGAAGTGGAGCATCGTGGGGTGGGGTGTTGTGGGCGGCTGCCCAGTGTGTGAAGCGGTTCCATTTATTAATGTATGTTTTTCTCACTACAGGAGCCCTGCTGTGTTTGAAAATGTTCAACTATTGATATACATTTTGATCAGATCTACTTCTGTGATATTTGATGTCCTTAATGTGCATTGCTGTTTCATAAGTGACACAATGAATGAATGGAAACAATGCTACATACTGACAAGAGCCATATTTAGCTACCTAATTATGGGCCTCTTCCAAAGCCCATTGAAATCAAAGGGAGTCTTTGGGATTTAGATCAAGCTTAAAACATTCTGATTTTGGCAAGTGCTGAGCATTTGCAGCTCCTACAACAGTCACTTTAAGCTTTCCATGCTAAACATGTTTGAAAATTGGACCATTTATTTAGATGCCTAAGGTCCTGATCATGACGATGCTTAGGCCATGGCTTCTGTTTAGATGGGATGGTAAGAGGACCATCCGGAGAATGTTTCTTTGTCTCCTTTACCCCCAATGAACATCTAACATGGAAATTGGTTCTGATGTATAGACCTAGTTTGAAAAATTGACTATGTGGGTAGGTATAGAAATTGCTTTGGATAATCTTTAGCTGTCATCATAGCCACCATGAAGCCCAGAACGTATCTTCTGGACATATCATCTTTGTTAATATCGCAATGCTCGCTGACTATGAATGTTGAAAGATTCCAAAAACAGGCTTCATATCTGGGGTGTTAATTCTGCTGATTCTCAAAAGGAAAAGTGGTTTCCTGATTCAAAAAAGTGAGGTCTTGTATTGCTAAGATTTTTGCAATTCCGAATGCCTACATTTGCAGCCCTATTCCAAAATAGGCTGCAAGTGCAGATACCTTAAGAGATGGCCCAAAAATGAAGATCTGGATTTGGTTCTGTACTTCAACCTCTTCCAGCAGTTTGGTGTTATCTGAGATAACTCAGCTCTGTAGGGCCTGGTCTACACTAGCTTAAGGTACGCCATCCAACTATGCAAAATCTGTAGCTAGATTAGGCTAACCTTAAGCCGAGCTGCCGCAGCATCTACACTGTGGGAGGCCAACAGGAGCACATGTTTATGTCAGCTTCCCTTACTTTTTACAGGATGAGAAGTACAGGATGTCAGTGGTGGCTGCCCTCAGTGTTCAATTTGGGGGTCTACACTAAATCCACTAAATCGAATGCTAGAAAATCAACATAACAGATATGCCCTAACATATTATGAAATATCATAATGAAAATAAAATCAGAATACTTCTTTATGTAATATATTTGCTTTATTTTTATTATCAGTTCAGTTATACATTAATACATAAATGTATGTATTCTGTAGAGGATCTGTCATCCATGGGCAAAATTGAACTGTACTACTCACATAAAAGACAGCTATGTTGTTAGGATGTGGGAGGCATAACTCTAAATACTCTTGGGAGTTTGTGTCTGTTAAGTTGTCAGCTAGAGTGTTGCAGTAATATAGAAATGGGTTGTTTATTTAATTATTAATTTAGTTTGACCTAGACTCTACATCTGAAAATCAGTTGTAGAACTATCAAAACAAATTATTTTCTTAATATGAAAGTGAAAATCTATAATTAATAATCTTTTTATAATGTGGTGACTTCTATCAATATGGGAAAGAGATCAAGAGACAGTGGTAGAAAGTACCCAAGTGGGAGTAAGAAAAGAGCCATATACAAGGTAAAGGCAGTTGAAACACAGAAGCAAAAGGGTGCTTTAAACAACTATTTCAGCAGACCTGTTTCTACTGTTGAGTCAGAAGAGCTCAGTGAAGATGCAGATATGGTTAAAAATTCTCCAGTAGAACATACAATTCAGAGAGAGAACAACAGCAGTGACGAAGAATTTGAAGAGCCAAATAAGTCTGAAGAAGACATTCAAAGACAGTCGAGGAGGGTAGTGTAGACATACCCTGGGTTATTTATTTAATAATAATAATATTAGTTTCGTTTGACCCAGACCCTACATCTGAAAATCAGTTGTACAACTATCAAAACTAATTATTTTCTTAATATGAAAGTGAAAATCTATCATTAATATTCTTTTTAGAACATGGTGACTTCTATCAATATGGGAAAGAGATCAAGAGACAGTGGTAGAAAGTACCCAAGTGGGAGCAAGAAGAGTGCTTTAAACAAGTATTTTAGCAGACCTGTTTCTACTGTTGAGCCAGAAGAGCTCATTGAAGATGCAGATATGGTTGAAAATTCTCCAGTAAAACATATGACACAGACAGAGAACAACAGCAGTGACGAAGAATTTGAAGAGCCAAATCAGTCTGAAGAAGACACTCAAGACAATCAAGGTGAAGAAAAGACTACAAATAGGGTTGTAACTGATGCTGAAGATACTGACGGTCAAGAATGCTTTTCTGATAATAAAGATGCGAGTGGTTTAGATCCAGAGCAGAAAGGCAACTTCAACTCTGCTGACCAAATAGAAATATCTGATGATCCTGCAACTTGGCCAGAATACATTACCCGGCATATCAGAGAGTATTTAGTAAAACAAGGGACACCTAAAATTATTGTAGAAGATTTCCCTAAAAATAAGACTGGGAAACATTTTTCAAAGTTTCACTGCAAAAGGAAACTTTCAAATGGTGAAATTGTATCTCGTCCGTGGGTGATAGACTCAGTGTCAGCCAACAAGATCTTTTGTTATTACTGTAAGATTTTTTGCTCTAATGTGGCAAGTGCATTGGCATCTAATGGCTTTAATGACTGGTCTAATATTCATACAAGACTGGCCGAGCACGAAAACTCAAAAGGACATTTACAAGCTATGCTTAGTTGCTGCGACCTTCAGCAAAGGTTATCTGTTGAAAAAAACATTGACTCAATACAACAAAAACTTATTGACCAAGAAGCAAAATGCTGGCATCAAGTTTTTGAGAGACTAGTCGCTGTAATTCAGTTGCTAGCAGAACGAAACTTATCATTTCGTGGGTTTGACAAACGGCTGGGAACATCACACAAGGGAAATTTTCTTGGAGTTATTGAATTACTGGGAAAGTTTGACCCAGTGATGCAGGAACATTTACGAAGACTCCAGAAGTCAGAAATACAGGACCATTATTTAGGAAAAAACATTCAAAATGAACTTATTAGTATTGTAGGGGATTCCATAAACATGAAATAATAGCTCGAATTAAGGCTGTTAAGTATTTTGCTATTATACTGGACTGCACTTCTGACATTAGTCATCGAGAACAAATGTCACTGACAATTTGGTATGTGGCTGATGGTGTATCACCAATTATTCTGGCAGGAATATATGAACATTTCATTAAGTTCGTAGTAGTAGAAAGCAGCACAGGTGACTATTTGTACAATATCCTTTTAAGGGAACTCAAAGACCTGGGATTGGACATTGCAAATATCCGTGGGCAGGGCTATGACAACGGTGCAAATATGAAGGGAAACATATCAGGTGTACATGCATTATTTCTGAAAACAAACCCAAGAGCTTTTTTTATACCATGTGCATATCACAACTATAATCTCATTTTGGGAGACATGGTCAAAACATGTCCAGATGTGATGAGTTTCTTTGGAGCCTTGCAGCATATTTACAACCTTTTTTCTGCATCTACTAAAAGATGGACTATTTTTAGAAAACATGTTACAGGCCTTTCTGTAAAGCCTCTTTGACAAAACACAATGGGAATGTAGAATGCAAAGCATCAAAGCTCTGTGGTACCAAACAGGGAAGTTTTATGATGCACTCGTAGAGGTAGCAGAAACAATTGATGATGCTCAAGCAAAAAGTGATGCTGAATTGCTAGCTACTTAAATGAAGGATTATAAGTTTTTGGTTTTGCTAGTTTTCTGGCATGATTTACTTTTTCAAGTAAATTTTGTGAGCAAGGAATTACAGAGTGATACAATGGATATTTCTGCAGGAATTTCTTCATTCGAAAAGCTTTGTAACTGGTTAAAAATATACAGACAGAAGGGTTTTCAAGAAGTGTTAATTGGTGCCAATGAACTTGCCAAAGATCTAGATGTGACTCCAGTTTTCCAGACTAAATGCTTGTGCAAACAAAAAAAACAATTTGAGTACGAGTTTGCAGACGAGCCTTTTCCTGATCCAAAAGAAGCTTACAGAATGCAGAGCTTCAATCAAGTATTAGACAAAGCTTTATAGTCACTTGAACCAAGGTTTGAACAGTTGCAAAAGCATGTGAGTTTATTTGGATTTTTATGCGAATTCAAAAATCTTCCCAAGGACACCATACGAAAATCTGCTGCAGATCTGGAACTCGCACTGACAGATGTGAAACTAGTGGAGGAAAACGAACAAGTTTCAACTGTAAAATCAGTTGACATAAAAGGCTACATGCTTTGCAAAAAACTGGAAGCATTACAGCCAATTCTTCCGTCTGATTATGGAAACCCCCTAAAAACGCTTCAATTTCTTGCATCTAATAACCAATCAACAGCATTCCCAAATTTATTTATAGCAATTCGAATATTACTGACTATTCCAGTAACTGTAGCCTCAGGAGAGAGGAGCTTTTCGAAGCGAAATCTAATTAAAACATATCTGCGATCAACAATGCAGGAAGACCGATTAAACAGTTTGGCAATCATGTCAATTGAATGCGAAGTAATGAAGAGCTTAGAGTTAGGCAATATACTGAAAGATTTTGATGAACAAAAAGGAAGGAAGATAAAGTTTTAAAAACATATGAGTGAGGTGTGCAATAAAGTCCCGCTTTGTTGCCTAGGCTAAGGGAATAATGATTCCAACATTCAAAATGGAGTCTGACAGGTTCCATTTTACATTTCATTTCACCTCAGAGCTGTTTTCCCACCAAAACCTAAAAGAGTGTGCACACTAAAAAGCTTTGCACCCTGTACTCTAGGCAGTGCACATGGTCCTACCACTCTGCACTCCTTCCCAATCTGATGTGCATGCATCCAAGCTGTGCACTCAGCCCCACTTTTCAGTGCACACACACCATATTTTGCACCCTACTCACTAATCCTGTTTTCCCGCCTTTAAATGTTTGGTTCTGAGGGGAACTCAGGTTCGTCTATCTGTCTGTAGTCTGGTTAGGTTTGTGTCTTCATTTGTCTTCCCTGTGACATTCCATCCTATGCCTGTGGATGTTTGGTTAGGGTTTTGAGGCCTAGCTCGTGGTGCTGTGGCAGCTCTGTGCGTGGGAACGCCCCACACAGAGGATTACTGGCAGGTGCCTATTGGACTGGAACTCTATTGCTCATCTACTAAACCCTGCCTACCGGACGGGTCTGTGAAGCTGAAGGGCTGACGGGAGCTTCATCCGGAGGAGCCAACCCACGGCAGAGACAAAGATCCAGGAAGTGTATCTGTTCCGCAGGACAGACCAGCGCTTCGAGGGATCTCCCTGCTTATCCTCTCCTAAGGCTTTCAATTAGCCAAGGGATTGTAGGTCGCAGGCATCAATCACCAGATCATCGCTTCAAGGGATCTCCCCTGCTGATCCTCTCCTAAGACTTTCAATTAGCCAAGGGATTGTAGGTCGCAAGCATCCATCGCCGTCTCCTATTCTGTGTAAAGTATACCCCTTTTGTGTATGGGACCTTTCTATCTTTCTTTCTTCTGGGATAGGGTGGGTTTGTTGCAGTTACTTGTTGCTGTGTGCCTTTAACTTTCAAATACATGGTTTGGCCCTAAGCCTTGTCTGGCCTGATTTGTGATTCTCAGTCCAGCGGTGATAGATACGTAATACCAGGCCGAATCTGGCTTCTGTGTGGGGACAGCCTTAGGCTTTGATTAATTGCTTAGGCTCCACAGCAATTGCATACCTAAGTCTCCCAGGTAACAGCTTAACCAACTTGATATTTATAATATATGCCGCAATGTACCAAAACTTCTGTATGTGGTTGTGGTTTGTTGTGGTGGTTTTTTTTTCTCAACAAATCCTGGGTGGTGGGGGGCCCCGCCAAAACTGTTCGAATTAGGCCCCGCACTTCCTAAAGCCAGCCCTACTTGTGCCTCATTCTTCCCTCACATCCTTCCACTTACCCCTCCCTAACCCCCTTCCTGGTGTAAAATAAAATACACATATTTTCATACATACAAACTCTCTTTATTTAACAAAACGGGGAGGGCAATGAAACTCTGGTGAGACTGGAGAAAGGAGGTGGGAGAAGGGAGTGAGAGGGTGGGAGAAGGGAGTGAGAAACCTGGGAGGAGGGAGATGGAAGGGGAAGCAAGGGGAAGAAGGGGGAGGGGAAGCTCAGGGCTCACGCTTGGGGGATCTCACGAGGCCAACTGTCTCCCAGCACCGCGGGTGCGGGGGCCTCGGTGTCCCTGAGGGGATGGGGAGAGGATGGAGGGTGTGGAGGAGGTGAAGGAAGAAGCAAGAGGAGAAGGAGTGGGAGGAGGAGCGGTAGCTAGGGAGGCAGCAGGTGCTGGAGCGGCAGGAGGCAGCACGCTCTGCACCAGGGTCTGCAGGTGCTGGCAAATGGTTTGGCTGTGTAGACGCTAGGAAAGTTATTTCGAAATAACGGCTGTTATTTCAAAATAACTTTGCTGTGTAGACATATCCAAGGAGGACGTTGCACACCTGTTGTGAGCACTGCAATTCTATGCCCATGAACCATCAAGGTACCTCACCTTGACGTGGAGAGTTTGGAATTGAGGGTGAGGAGACGTGGTTCCCCATTGATAAAGTATGGCTGGATTGCATGGGAATGTGATCGGGAGATATCAGGCCATCCTGTGTAGGAGGAGAAACCATGGTTGTCGAGGCTAACAGGGTACTATGAGGATGACTTTTGCTTTGTTCCTCTTTGTCCCTTTATAAGGATTCTGTTGAGGAGGGGAAAGGGAGGAAACGCATAAAGTAGGGGTGAATCTCTGAGGATGAGAGTGTCCCCAAGGGATTGCTTATCCATGTCCACTCTGGAGCAATACATTAGGCCTTTCTTGTTGGTTGTGGTGGCAAATAGGTCTATGTGGGTGTGACGTAGTGGGGGTACTTGCTGGGCTGTGGTGACCTCTGCTGTCTGGAGCAGGACCCAGCAGGGAAAACCTCACTATGCAAAGGTGATGCCAAACTGGTTGAACCAGATACCCCCCATAGAGAGGAACAAAGGAAGGTGGAGGCTGCCCTGGCTGGGGGGCAGGGCTGGAAGAGAGTGAGTTGAGTGGCGGGCTGGGAGCATGGAGGAGACAGCCTAGGGAAAGGGGCTGGAGTTTAGAGGCCCAGTCTCCCCCATCTCAAGGGGGCCTGAGGCATCCTAGCCCAGCTCTGTGACCAGATTCCATCTGTGCTGTGCTGCATCCTGGAGAGGCAATAACCTTCCTCTATTCCACCGGCTGGTGCAGTCTGTTTGTGCCATTTCGGGGTGCAGGAGATGGGGGACCCCCAACGCGCCGTCACAGTGGGGATAACCCCATTATTTGAATATGTGTCTGAGAACGGCTAGCTCCCATTTGTGATCCTGGGGCAGGGCTTTGCTGAGGGCATCTGCTATTGTATTGAGGGCCCTGGGGAGGTGGCATGCACTTAATGTCTCATGCCAGGCACCAATTCCAGAGTGTGATGGCCTCCTTGCAGAGGGTTTGTAACCAAGCACCTCCTTGCCTGTTTATGTAGAACATACATGCCATATTGTCCATATATATTCTGATGTGGTATATGGAAGTAAATGATTGCATGCTAGTCGTACTGCTCTGAGTTTGAGGATGTTGATGTGAAGTGTGCATTCTGCTGAGGTCCAGAGGCCCTGAGCCGTGAGTCCTTTCATGTGAGTTCCCCACCCAGTGAGAGAGGCACTGGTGGTGATTACTACTGTGGGTTCTGGGCTTTGAAAAGGTATGCCTCTGTGAAGGTTGGACGGTTCTGTCCACCACTGTAGTGATGTCTTTACAGTGTGTGGGAGTGATAATGTTCTGTTCATGTGGTGTATGTGTGGCTTGTAGTTTAATCTGAGCCAGCACTGGATGCACCTCATAAAAAGGTGTTGTTGGGAACTACAGGGTTGCATGATGCCATATGGCCTAAAAGTTGTAGGCAGTTGTGGACCATGACCGATGGCATCACACGAAGGGAATGTGCCAAATGGCTGATCCGGCTGGATCTGTCAGTAGGCAAGGAGGCCATGGTTGTGATAGAATCAAGATAGGTGCCAATGAATTGGATGGATTGGGTAGGCACGATAGTTGATTTGCTGTGGTTTACGAGAAGTCCTAGGGATTTGAAGCATCGTAGGGCCATTTGGGTGTGATGATGAGAATCGTGTCTGGTTCTTGCTTTGATCAGGCAGTTGACTATGTACGGGTAAATAGTGATTCCGCACTACCTGAGATAAGCAGTTACTGCTGAGAGGACTTTGAAGAAAACCCTGGGTGCTGTAGAGAGACCAAAGGGTAGAACCGTATATTGGTAGTGTTGTGAACCTAGGGTAAAACAAAGAAAACGTCTGTGAACTGGCTATATGGAGACGTGGAAATAAGCATCTAGTAGGTCGAGAGACGAAAACCAGTCACCCTGTTCCAGAGTCAGCAGAGTAACCATTTTAAATTTTTGCCTTTTTACATATTTGTTCAGCGCCCTCAAGTTGAGGATTGGGCGCCAACCACCTGTTTTCCTTTCTGTGAGGAAATAGTGAGTATAAAAGTCGGTTCTGTGGAATTCCAGAGGGACTGGTTCTATAGCTCCTAGATGGAGCAGATGGTCCACCTCATGTTGTAAGATGATCTCGTGAAGGGGTCCCTGAGGAGGGACAGGGTAGGTTGGTGTGGTGGGGGGAGAGAAAGGAAAGGGATAGTGTATCCTGAAAAAATTGTTTGTATTACCCACTTATCAGATGTAATGGCTTGCCATTGTTGTAAAAATGGTAGCAGGCGATCATGAAAGGGTTTAACTACGTTTTGGCCCTTTGGAGCAGGTAATGTGGTTTTCGGTCTCTCAACATCTGGTTCAAATTTTCTTATTTGGTTAGGATGGGCGGCTGGGAGTGTTGGTCTGGAAACAGTGGCGTTATTGTCTATTTCGACCGCATTGTTGGTAAGGGGGTTGATCCTGTCTTTGGTAATGATATGTAAATTGGGGGTATCTTCTTGGGTATAGTCGATACCTATATTGCCTTGTTCTCGTTCCAGGTGTCTGGATTCCCAGGGATAGTGTTGCCCTAAAGTTTTTCATTGAGTGCAAGATTTCGTTCGTTTTCGTGGGGAAGAGCTTCTCGCCTTCGAAGGGCAAATCCTCAACTGATAGTTGGATCTGGCATGGAAAGGCAGAGGAATTAAACCATGAAGCTCGTCGCATTACCACTGCCATGGCCGTTGTTCTCATGGCCGTATCTGCTGCATCAAGGGCGGCTTGTAGGGCTGTGCATGATATTGTTTGGCCTTCTGCGATGATGGCCCTAAATTGTGCTCTTTTGTCATCAGGTATTTCTTCAATAAAAGTGTTTAATTTTGCTAAGAAGTGCAGTGTAGTTAGCTAATCTCATTTGTAGAGTAGCCGAGACATACACCTTCTTTCCCAATGAGTCAAGCCTTTTATTGTCCCTCTCAAACAGGGTGGAGCGGTTCTGCTGTTTATTTTTCTGTTGAGTAGCATCCACAATCAGGGAATTGGGTGGTGGCTGAATGTAGAGAAATTCAGAGCCCTTGGGAGGGACATAATATTTGCGGTCTGCCTTTTTAAAGGTAGGTGGAATTGAGGCAGGTGTTTGCCACAAGGTCTTTACGAGTTCGAGTATAGCCAGATTAATTGGCAGAGCAATTTTGGCAGATGGGGTCACCTAGAGGACATTTGTGAATTCATGGTTGGAGTCCTGTACTTCCTCCATGGGGATATTTAGGACGAGTGCGACTCTTTTAAAAAGAGTCTCGAAAGGAAGAAACATTCTCAGTATTATTAGAGGACAGTGGTGCAATGGCTTCATCAGTGTAAGATGGTGGGTTTGTGTGGGATAAAGCACCAGAGAGTGAGTTTGGTGACCCATGACATCGGTATCCTTTTTCCCTCTGCCCTTTTGAGATAATTGAGTGAGGGGAGAGAGAGCTCTTATCATGTGTTTAGTCTTATATGATCTCTTTTACTGCTGTTGCGGCCATTGGTTCCACATTTGCCACTGTGGAAAGTAAGGCATTGGTGGTGGTATCCACGGGTATGGAGCTCAAGGAGCCACTGGTGCTGTAATAAGATCAGGGTGAGCAGTGTTGCTAGAGTTTTCTGACCCCCTCCGTACATGGGGACAGATGAGTGAAAAGAGCGCTAACCCATCATCCTCCTCCGTTGATACGGAGAAGGGTGATTCTAAATAGAGAATGGGGAGTGAGGTTGTTTATCCTCACTCAGAATGGGGGAGTTCAGTGTTGAGGAGATCGCAAAGTGCCCGTGCTCCCTGTAAGATATATTGGGAGTTTGTGGTGTGGGGAGCTGTGCTCCTGTTGACATTAATGGCTGTGGCGCAATAGGAGCAGAGTGCGCAGCATGTGGAGTTGTCATGGGTAATGGCGGGGGAGAGGTGGTGCCATGTCAGCTGCTATGGTGCCATGGCAGGCATTTGAGGCGCCGATGTAATTTCTGAGGTGTAAATTAGTACCATGCTCAATGCCGTGATATGAGAGACAGGCACGATGTGGCCTGTTGCCTTGGTTATCGCGCTCTGTGTAGCGCTTTTGTTGGTGATGTGCTGCTCGCCCGATATCCCTGGGTGGTCAAAAGTATTGAGGCAGCGTTTGTCAACATTATCTGACTCTCTTCCTGAAACATGCCTCTTAAGCGACTACTGTGGCAGCAAATGAGCCCTTCTCTTTTTGGGCTGTCCCCCTTGGCTGTATGGTTCTGCGCCGGGCTAGGATCAGAGGCAGAATGTTTGCCCTTGTCAGCTATTAACATTTTCAGGCGGAACTCTCTGTCTTTGCGTGTGTGCTTCTTGAGCTTTGCACAGTGAGGGCAGTCTCAATGTGAGTGTGTCCCAGGCACTTCACACATTCATCATGTCTGTCTGATGCTGGCATTGCATCATTGCAGAGTTTACAGCATTTAAAGCTGGGTGATCCCATACCACGGCAGTGTTGAAAGGGAATCAACTGACAAACAAAGTTGATTTTTAACTACTTCTAATAACTCTAACTAACAACTCAGAACTGGGGGCAGAAGAACTTGGATTTAACTAACTATCTAAATTTCCTTTCAGAAGAGCTGAGGTGAAGAGCACTGCGAGATTCCGTCTGAAGCCGGGGACGGCAGAAAGGAACTGAAGGGAAGGGGGCCGTGCATGCACAATGGCACCTGAGGGGACCACGCATACCGCATGCTACACATGCACAGCCCCAATACACTGCTAGCAGAAATCCATCAAGAGGTGCTGGGACACTCCAGCACCCACTGTGGAGTACCCCATGGATGCCTCTCGAAGAAGAACAACAGAGAAATGTGAGCAAAGGAACAGAAAGGCAAGGAGAGAGCAGAAAAAGCACTAGGAGCATGACCCCAAGAAAAAGCCGAGAGAGAGAGTTTTTGAGGCAGAGTGCTGATTGAAAAGAGGCTTCAAACTGTAAGAAAACAGATCCTGGATACAGGACTCTGTCCATTCTTCTTGTAAATAAACAGAATTGCATCATTAAAAAAAACCCAACTCCATCACCACATGCTCCTCCTAATAGAAGCAGACCAATAGATACTGAATTTTGGCTAATCACTCAGGTCAAAAAGGGGTAACAGCTGATTATAACACAAACTTACCTACCTCGTAGCACTGATTTCTCATTCTAAAGCAAAAAAGCCTGTGAAGCTCCAAATACTACTTAACACTTAGACCAAGGGACAATGGTGTGTCTTTATGATGGGTCCCAAATATACTACAAATGCAGAATCACTGTTAAATAATAATATATTTTAAAATCATTAAGCATATCTGTCTGGGAGGGTTTAGGTGCCAGTTATTAGAAATCCCACTATATAGGAACTAACAAAAGGAAGTTTTTATTCGTGTTATTAGTGTCTGGTATTAACTCACCTTAGTTGACGCTTTGCTTGAGTTCCTTTTGGCTCTCTTTTGTACATCTTCCTCTTCCTTTCTTACCTTTGATTTCTTCCACCTCTTCACATCAGTGTCTGAATTGTCCGCTTTCAGTTTTGTTTCGGTCGAGTCATCCGTCCCTTGGCTCAGCGGGTAGATTATCACCTCTTTTTCCCTCATGTCCTCTTTTTTTGCATGATGCTCAGGGCCTTCCCTCAGAGAAAGGACATGGGATTTTGCCAGCGGAGGGGCAAACGTTTTCTTCATTATCTTCCCAACTTTATGCTAGAATTAAAGGAGGAAAGAAATACAAAATAGCAACCCACCACCAGTCAGAAGCACACATGACAGTGAAGCTCTGATCTTATCAACACATAAAAGTTGTTCATCCATCCCTTGAGTATATAAATGTAAATTGATTTAAGAGGGCCATATTGATTTAAGCTGCATCCAGACCAGTTTACACCAATTTAACTGCCTCCTCTAGTATTTTACAGGAAAACTGGATCTATTTCTAGGAGACACTCTCAGATAGAAGCTAGAACCACTGGTGTAGTCTGACTTCCTTGTCGCAGGCCTCACCCATTAATTTCTGCACCATGTCCCTAAAAAAACAGGACTACGTAGCACTTTAAAGACTAACAAGATGGTTTATTTAAGAAAATTGGCATGACTATATATACCAAAGGATACAATCAAAAAAATGAACACATATGAAAAGGACAAATCAAATTTCAGAACAGAGGGGAGATGGGGGGGGGGAGGTAAATGATTTGTCCTTTTAATATGTGTTCATTTTTTTGATTGTATCCTTTGGGATATATGGTCATGCCAATTTTCTTAAATAAACCATCTTGTTAGTCTTTAAAGTGCTACGTAGTCCTGTTTTTTTAGGGACATGGTGCAGAAATTAATGGGTGAGGCCTGCGACAAGGAAGTCAGACTACACCAGTGGTTCACAAGCTATTTACTGTTGTGGACCACATATGTAGCTCTCTGCGTGTTATATGAGCCTCATCCATACATTATCTATACTATTTGTATGGCCCTGAAGAAGTCACATGGGCCACAGCTGTGTGCTGATTGGGCTGCAAGTTGAGAACCACTGGACTAGACCAGTGTTTCTCAACCAGTGGTATGAGTATCCTTGGGGTACTCAAGAGAAGTCTGGGGGGTACATCAACACAACTGAAATTTGGAGAAAACTGAATTTTTGTTTTAAGTTTTACAGCGCTTTATTATACTTGTACTTTTTATACCCAAACATTTCATCACCTGCACGGCTAAGATTAAGTTGTTTAAACAAATATGTTGCAATGGTAGAAAAAAACCTGGTGTGTCTGAAAACTGTAGGTACTGCGGGTACTTATAATTTTTTTAAAGGGGTACTTTATAAAAAAAGGTTGAGGAACACTGGACTAGATGGTCGAAATGATCTTTTCTGGACTTAGTAGCTATGAATCTATTAGTCACAGAATAATAGAATACTAGAACTGGAAGGGACCTTGAGAGGTCATCAAGTCCAGTTCCCTGCCCTCGTGACAGGACCAAGCACCATTTAGATCATCCCAGACAGATGTTTGTCTAATCTGCTCTTAAATATCTCCAATGATGGAGATTCCACAACCTCCCCAAGCAATTTATTCCAGTGCTTAACCACCCTGACAGTTAGGAAGGTTTTCCTAATGTCCAGCCTAAACCTCCCTTGCTGCAATCATTAAGATCATTGCTCCTTGTCCTATTATCACAGGTTAAGGAGAACAGTCTTCTCCCTCCTCCTTGTAACACCCTTTTAGGTACTTGAAAACTGCTATCAAGTCTCCTCTCAGTCTTCTCTTTTCCAAACTAAACAAACCCAATTCTTTCAGTCTTCCCTCACAGGTCTTATTTTCTAGACCTTTAATTGTTTTTGTTGCTCTTCTCTAGACCCTCTCCAATTTTTCCACTATGACCCCTAGATTAGCTAAATTTAGTTCTAAACTGGAGCATCCATTGTCTGAAAAATGCTTTATTTTCCATCATTTAAGTGTCTCTATTTCTCTGTTTGCCTGTGGCACATAGTGGCTAAGTGAATTAATTATTGTATGTTAATTAAAGTTAATGAGCCCGAATCTCAGTTTTACAGTAAGACCTCTAAACTTCTAGAATCTTTGTATAAATTACAATCAGGCTCAAGAGCTTCACTAGTTGTTAGACTCCTCCTAGTCCAAAGACCTCTGTCCTACAAATGGATTAATTGCTAAAGTTATTATGCTTATATCAGTGTAAATGCAGAGGCGCAGTTAACTTACTGGAATTGCTTTGAATTTACACCAGAGGGCAATACTATGCATTCTTTGCACTGTGTTAGCACCAAGAGGATAGCTGCTGGACATGTGTAACAAAATGACGGAGTCTGTTCCAAAGGCCTCATAATCTAAAACCTCAATTCAACAAAACACTTAATGTGTGCTTAAACCCCAGTGAAGTGAATGGGAATTAAAGACATGCTTATATGCTTGGGTGAGGAGGCAAAGGCTGCAGAAATTAGTGCTTTATGTTAGAACAAAGTTTGCCCCAACTGTTATCTAGATTGATGTTTAACACAGGAATGTTGTGAGGATTAAAGAGTTAATGTCTGCAAGGTGCTTTGAAGATTAAAAGAACAACATACAATAATTGCTATTATTATTTCAGTTTTGAAATCTGCCATTTTTGATAGAACACACTTTCCCTTCACCAGCACAATTCTTTGGACAAAGACCACAGGGGAGGTGAGTAAAAAGTCAGCCTAACTCTTCTCCCCGCAAACTTAAAAAGAAACTATTGATGATGCCTGCTCATAACTCTGCTGCTTCCGGCACTCTGATCACTAGGGCTACATCTAGACTGGCACGGACACTTTTCCGCAAAAGCACTTTTTGCAGAAAAGCGTCCGTGCCAATATAGATACGGTTTTGCGCAAGAAAGCCCCGATCACCATTTTTGCCATCGGGGCTTTTTTGCGCAAAATAGTTTTTAGCTGTCTACACTGGCCCTCTTGTGCAAAAACATTTCCGGAAAAGGGCTTTTGCCCAAACAGGAACGTCAAAGCATTTGTGCAAGAAGCACTGATTTCGGACAGTAGAACGTCAGCGGCCAGTGTAGACAGCTGGCAAATTTTTGCGCAAATTGCAGAAAAACTTGTTAGTGTAGACGCAGCCTAGGGGTATGTCTTTTGAGAGAGGAATGCAGTGTAGACGTACCCTATGCTACACATGCAGAGAAACACAGATGAAAAAACTGCATACCTTAGCTGAGTCAAGGGAAGTTTCAAACACAAGGTGCGCAGGTCTAAAGCCAGAATGGTCCAGTGTATTATTCTGTGTAGTAAGATGAGGGCCTGAAACAGTACCAAATTAGCTAGTGCATCTTCCTGCTGTGGGGAAAGAAACATAACTCAATATCACTAATAATATTACCTCTAATAGACTTACTCCCATGGCAAAAAATTCTGTTTACATGCCTCTTATTGACATTTTCCAAACCCCAGGGAACCAGATCCTCAGATGGTATAAGCAGCTGATTTACACCAGGTGAGAGTCTAAGGCATATGTATGGAAAGGGATTATGCACATGCCCTGCATCACTGGATCATGATGCTTGTGGTAGACATTAATACAGTCTGTAAGGCCAACTCTCCCCTTGCACTGGGTCTCTGCTTTGCACCATTATACTTCTATTGATTCTAGTGAAGTGTCTCCAGATGTACAACAGTTTGAGAGCAAAATCAGGTCCGGTATTGACTAGGAATGATGCCACTGCAAATACTGCGTAGAAAGGTGCATCCCGTGGCTGCTGTGTCATGTAAAATAGGGTGAAATTATATCCATGTTCAACTCCATTTCCACTGACCATCCTAATAAGAACAGGGGAGCCCTATCATCTTATCTAGGTAGCATCACTTTCTTTCCGTAAGTATGCATCTCCCATAAGACAACAACTAGAGAGGATGCAGTGTTTTGGACAATCATAGGTGATCAAAGTCCACATTGGCACCTTTGAGGAGGAAAAATAGCCATGATTTTATAGCTTTTTTGCCCTGAGTTGGTTACCATCTTGGTGCTTCTCTGGGCAGGATGGGAGGAGGCAAGCAGGCACCACACTGACACAGTTTTGGCATTCAGGGAAGACCACAACATTTTTATGTTGGTTTGGGTCACCTGCGCCAAACTGCCCCAGGAAGGCAAGCCAGGCAAGGGGAGGGGGGACCCAGCCTTTTCCTAAGGTAACTCCAGTGCAGGAAGACAATGGATACCCGTGTGGCACAGGTCTGGCCCAAGCTAGCGTCTCCCCATTAGCATCAGTAAGTGAGGCGGCTTTTGGCGCCTTTTCACCTTCCCCGCTCCCCGCTTTGGGTCACCTGCGCCAAACTGCCCCAGGAAGGCAAGCCAGGCAAGGGGAGGGGGGACCCAGCCTTTTCCTAAGGTAACTCCAGTGCAGGAAGACAATGGATACCCGTGTGGCACAGGTCTGGCCCAAGCTAGCGTCTCCCCATTAGCATCAGTAAGTGAGGCGGCTTTTGGCGCCTTTTCACCTTCCCCGCTCCCCGCGTTGGGTTCCTTTTCCCGCCTCCACCCCCCCCCCCCCCACACCCTCCCCCGCCCCTAACAACCTCCCACAGAGCGGGTGGGGGAAGGCTCCAGAGCGCACGCGCGAACCTTTCAGCCGCCCCCCCCGCTCTGTCTCTGGGATGAATAAACTTGAAACTCGCGACACGCGCAAACGCAGCCGTCTGAAAAGGAGGCGGGGCAAGGGCGTGCGCATGGATCGAAACTATTGCGCACGCTCTTCTTGTCAGGCTGAGGATGGGGTGGTGTTGGTTTGTGCATGCGCATTCTCTCTGCGGCTGGGGGCTCAGTAGTAGCGGTGCTGCTGACATGTGATTTCAGAATGCACTGACCATTTGAGGTTGCCGGGCGCCAGGGGGCGTGGCCGTTCGCACGCTGGGCACCAGAGGACGGGGACACTTGCGCGCCCGGGGGCGGACCCCCCCCATAGCCACGCGCCCGGGGCGGCGCCTGGGGCTGGCGCTCCCCCCCCCCCCAGCTGCGCGCCTGGGGACGGCGCCCCCCGCAAGCCAAGTGCACCTTCTCTATCAGCTTTAGGTAGCACATTCTAATTGACTATTGACTATTTCTTTCCTTCTTTTTCTGCCTATAGAGATTGTGACACCAATGAATCTGTATAGGGAGTGGAGCTATATTATATTTATATGACCCTGAAAATCTGTGTATGGGCTAGCCCTGTATATGAACCCTTCAGATATGTGGACTGAGATACGGGACCTGCGGGTTTCCAAATGGATCGATCATCTATAGTTTAAACTCCAGGGACATTCATATATATTGATCATTTATGTTATGTGCTCCGCATGGATCGATATAGTTCATTAGACCTTATGCCATGGACTTGTTTTTTCTATATGGGTACGTCTACACTACGGGGGTTTTCCAGGATACCACACTTTTTTTTTGGGGAAGAGCAAACACACGCTTTCAGGGAGCCCTGTATACCTCATTTTATGAGGGATAAGGGCTCTCCTGAAGGAGGAGACTTTTCTGCCATTTGAACCTATCTAGACTGGACCAAATGGCAGAAAAGCCTCTTTCGGAAAAGTGATCAGAAATTTTGGCAATTTGCATAGCTTTTTCCAACAAAGGACTGTAGTCTAGACCTAGCCTGTGTGTTAGAGCAGTGTTTTCCAAACTATGGGCCATGGCCCGGTACCGGGCCTCAGCATGCCTGGTGGCTGCCGGCCGGCCTTAGGCCAATTTGACCGATTCGGTCGAATCGGGCCCCGCATCCCTGAACCCGGAAGTGCCGGCGAGTTATAGAGCCGGGGGCCCTGCTCCACCAATATGTGGAGCTTGGTCTCTCCTCCAGCTCTGCCTGGAGCTGGCCCTGACCCGTCCCTGCCGTGTGCGGCTCCTCCTCGCCAGCTGCTGCTGCCCATGTGCGGCGTTACACATGGGCAGGGGGGATGCCTGGGCATGACATGATGTCACGGCCCGGGATTTTAAAACTCTTTGGAGGCACATTGCAGTCTGCCTCCAGGTTCAGCCTCCGGGGCCTGAGCGCGGCCTCCAGCCCCACAACGTGGAAGGCAGAAGGCAGGGAACGGGCTTGTGCGGCGGTGGCGGGGAAGGAGAGGAGGAGAGGAGGCGGCACCAGGAAAGGGAAGGGGCTTGGGCGGAGAGGGATGGAAGGAGAAGGGGCTTGGGAGGGGGAGACACCCAGGGACAGGATGCAGTAGAGACAAATGCCGGGGGGCCAAGTGCACACAATGAGGGAAAGGGCAGGAGGGGATGTGTCAGTGGGAGAGGGGACAGGGTGATTCTGGGGCAAGAAAAGAGAGGGGAAGGGCATTGGGGACTGGAGGGGGAGGTGCTGGGAGAAGGCTTGAAAGAAGGGGTGGTCATGAGAAAGGTGGGGATGGAGCAAGGCATGTGTGAGGGCACAGAGGGGCAGGAGGAGAATGGGGCAGAGAGTGGTGAGGGGGTGGGTATCAGGGAAAAAGGGGGCAGGGCCAGTAAAGGAAGGGGGAGGCACCAGGAGGGTGCAGGGCTAAGGGAAGGTGCAGGTGCCAGGGGATTCTGGAGTGAAACAAGCTGGTTACTTGCTGCAGGGGAGGGACCAGCACCAGAGGAGAGAGGCAGGGCGGGGGGGGAGGGGGGGGTATTAGGAGAGGGGATGAGAAGGGGTAGCTCACTTGATCAGAGTGGGGCTACTGGAGGAGTGGGCACAGGGGGGAGAGAAGGGCTGGTGGAGGGGGGAAGGTCTCAGGAAGGCTGAGGGCAGTGAGAAGGGCAGGAGTCAGGACAGCAGAGGAGAGTGAGAGG